GATGATCAGCCAGCCCTGCATTTTGGGAAGATTTGTGTTGAAAATGGTACCTGCTTTCAAATCTCAAATAAATTTCATTTGTTGTTTTTTTCTGTTGAAATTTATATAAATGTTCTATACGACCTTATAACATTTTGAAAATACTAAATTTTGTTGTTTTTGATATTGTTGTTGTTATTCGAATTCATTTGATGTTTTGTGTTGTTGTTGTCTTTTTTTTGGGTTAAAATATCGAAAGGAATGTTAATCACAAAATCCAATTTAAAATTGTTGCAACATAAAGGAAATTAAGCACAAAGATTGATTGTTTTCAAATTTTCACAAAAAAAAAAATACTTAAAAAAAATTGAAAAAAAACACAAATAAATTACTTAAAAAAATGAAAAAAAAAATAAATTACATTAAAAATTGAAGAAAAAATCAAAGCAAAGTAAGAAAATAAATTACTTTCAAAAAATTAAAAAAAAATCGAAAACCAAAACAATCGATAAATTTCGCTCTAACGTAAATAAATGACCTCAAAAGGTGAGATAAACATAAATAAATGATAATAAATTAAAGAAAACATGTTAAAATGCAATAAAAAAAAAAATTATCGAATTTTATCGATAACAAAAAATTTCGATAAGTTGTATTTTTTATGTAAAAATTGAAGGAAATAATAAATATTGATTATATTAAAAAATAGTAAATAAATTAGTAAAAGGCGAATTTATCGATATGTAAAAATTACCGAAAATTTTCAAAAAAATTGTACTTTTAAGATTTTTTTTATAAAAAAAATATATTTTTAAATTAAAAAAACAAAGCAAAAACCACATATTTTAAAAATCATAATTTTTAGCTTTTAAATTTTTTTTTTTTAATTTTTTTAAAAATTTTTTTTTTTAATTTTTTAAAAATTTTTTTTTATAAAAAAAAATTAAAATTATTTCAAATATAACAAAATCAAGTATTGTGATCATTTTAAATTAATTAATTAATTTTATTTAATATTTTTTATTTTAATTTTGAAATTTTTTTAAAAATATTTTTTATTTAATTTTTTTTTTATTATTTAAATATGTTTTTAAAACATTATTTTTAATTTTTCCCCAGAATTAACTGCCACCAAGAAAAAATCTCAAATTACTTTTCAAGATTATCTGTGAGGGATGCTCTTCAATTGTCTCCATGTGCCCGCCAGCCAGCCAGTTAGTCTCACTGGCTTTGCTTGGCTGTTCTTCGGTCCGGCTTGTCTCGTTATTTTTATGACATAACCATGTGTTTAGCACTTGGCGCGAGAAGATTCTTATTAATTTTATTTTCTGTTTAACGAAATTGTGTTAAACGCTCAAGCAGAACTACATTAATAAAACAAGACTTAAGCAGACCAGACAGAAATTAAGAAGAATAAAGAAAAAACAACAACAACAAAAATGAGACTGGAGCTGGTTCCCCGGCTCATTATGAAGTGGAGGGTTTCCTAATTTAACTTAACCAAACCAGATGTATTAAATATGGTGTTATGAAAAAATAAAATAATTTTTTTGGAGGGTAAGAAGTGGGTGGGGTGGCTGTTTGTAGAAAGTGTTGCATAGGGGGGAAGGGGAATGTCATTTAAATAATTGATGGTATTTTGAGAAAAAATAAATATGAAAATAAAACTGCATTCCAAACTGCCTCGAATTGTTATTCAGGGTGTCCACAAGGCTGTAACCTCTAAGAAATATTCGTTCTATATGTGTGCTTGTCTGTCAGAATATTTGCCTGTTTGACTGCCTGATGATCTTCATATATGAAGTTGCTAATGTTCGAAAAATGACTCTCTGCCCATTAAAGTTTTCAAAACTATTTTTATATGAAATATTTTGAGAAGAGAGAGGCAAAGAGACTGCTCTCGCTCAAAAATGCATTAAATAAACCATCATTGCTGGCACCTCATCAACATTTGAGGGCCAGTACCAACCGCCAGTAGTTGCCCATAAAATGTTTTTGGATTTTTTTTTACTTCTTCAGTTCGTCTTGGTCTTCTTCTGTTTTTCGCATTTTTGTTGTTGTTGTTATTTTTACCATTGGCCATAAAAATATACTTGGCAAATGTATTTTTTGCCACATAAATTTCATCTGTTTTGTAAAGAAACACATAATGGTTTTTGTTTGCATTTAATAGGGAGATGGACCCCCATTCCCCCCTCTCTCTTTCTTTAATTTTTTACTCATATCTTGAGTACCATCAGAGGAAACTGATGATTTTATTTAGGCATCATTGAAATTTTTGACAGTTTTGTGAAATTTATCAAACTGCTGCTAACAAATTTCCATATTAACCAAAACGAAAAAAGAAAATAAATTTCCTAATAAATTAATTTACCAATAAGAAAGAAAATATTTTAAAAAATATTTAAAAATAGAATTTCTAATTTTTTTTTTTCAAAACCAAAAAAAAAAAATATCTGTCGATTTTATTTTGAATACCCCAAAAAAATTTGTTGTCATTCGAAAATGAAAAACAAAAAATTAATGCCAATGCTTTTTTTACGATGTCATCTAAAAATTTGTTTCGACGTTTAGGCAATCGTTGTCATTTAGCCTTAGTGGCCATAGTCGTCGTCTTCGACGTTTTCGTCTTGGTCGTGTGTTGTTGTGGTGTTAGCTTTACTAATGATGCAGCTAAAAAAATGTTTTATTTAAAAAAAGTGATATTTTTAAAATTCATGAGAGAAATCAAGAGATTAAAATCATTGCGGTCGTCGGCAGCAGAAGCATCAACATCTTCTTCTTCTTCTTCATCGTGGTCGCCGTCAGAAATGGAACATTGTCGTGAATGATGCTCATCATATGCATGTTTAGTGCAGGATGAGATGAACAGTCATAAAGTTGATTTTTTTGTTCATTGTGTATTTTAGAAGACACATTGTATTTATAATGCCATACATTAGGCCACTGAAGAGATTTGTCGGATCGCCAAACCAACCACCCCAAACAACAACAACAGCACATTTGCCTGGCTGCCAAGAGTGTTAAGAATTTTTCAGCCTCAATTATTATTAACACCAGCACCAGTTGGTTGACGCAAAATCAAAATGATTTTCATTTGTGAACACATTTTTGTGAACGAACTTAATGGGTTAATCTGTTCATTTCATGATGAGGGTGCTTTGGTATTTAATGATCATGATGCCAAGATGATGGTCTTGATGTTGTTCGGTGGTGGTGTTGGGGTATTCTTTTACTTTAACCGATCATATGTTGAATTCAGAAATTGTTGTTTTTTTTTCTACAATTCCACACAAAGAAACCCCCAGCCAAAACAACATTAAACAACACAAAGAATTGTAGGGAATAGAATTGAAAAAAAATGAAAAAAAACCGAAACAACTTTAAATGACGTCGTCGTCGTTTTGGCTGTTTTGTAGCGATGATTAATGAAGTGCCAGAAAATAAAGATCATCATTATTGTAAGATATTTAAAGCATAGAGAGTGTACGCACACATATATACACACATGTGGCAAACCAAAAAGGAAACTGGTACAAAAACAACAACAACAACAAGAAATAATAAAACACATTCTATCTTTTTAAGTGATTCACTTTGGGACTCATCATCATTTTAGAGCAGATACAAAAAAACGCCGAGAAGATAGGGTATACATCATCAGACAAGTAGGGAAAAAACATTAAATTTGTTGCTGCAACATGTTGCGAAGAAAAATTCCAACTTTGTAAAAATTGCCTTTAAAAATTGATAAGCAATATCAAATATGAGAAAAAATAAATTTTTATGATTTTTGGTAAAAGACAAAAAATTTGAAAAAAAATGTTGCAGCAACATGTTGCGAAAATTTTGTCATACAAAAGCTCTAAAAATTTATTAAAGCAATATAAATGCCATTTATAAACGATTTCTGAAGAATTCTACAAAAATAAGCAATTTTAAAAAAATGTTGCAGCAACATGTTGCAGAAATTTTTTATAAAATTACTTAAAAAAATTATTAAATCATATTTTATAACATTAAATAATTTATTGAATTATTTTGAATTTTTAAAATTAATTGATCTCAATTGATTATTTGAAAAAGCTTTCATTAATAAAGAAATGTTGCTGCAACATGTTGCCTGACACAATAGCCTTTTTATAGGCGCATTTCCAATAGAAAATAGTTTTGCTTAATTTTTTTTGAGTTGATCCGGCATTGTAAGCATTCTTTTTAATTAAAAATCTTGTATTTTCACTTTTAAAAATTTTGCAGCAACATGTTGCTGAAGACACTTTGCATGCTTTTTGGCAATTTTTCTATGGCAAACAATTTTTCTTAATATTTTTGAGCAACTAAAGGTAAGCTAAGCAATTTTCAAATTTTAAAATCATAAAATTTCAGTTTCTGAAATGTTGCTGCAACATGTTGCTTAAGGCAATTTACTTATTTTTCAACATATTTCTAATATGAAATGGCTTTGCTTAATTTTTTTAAGCTGCTGATGTTCTGTTTGCCGTTTTTTTAAGTTTAAAGCCATTAAATTGAAGTTTCTGAAATGTTGCTGCAACATGTTGCTTAAGTCAATCTGGAAGATTCTTGCCAAATTTTCAATGGAAATCACTTTTGCTTAATTTTTCTGAGCTATTGAAGTAATTTTAAGCCTTTTTTTAATTATAAAGTGAATATTTTTGAGAATCTGATGTTGCTGCAACATGTTGCTTAGAACAATTTTTATGTTTTTGAGCAAATTTTCAATGGAAAATAGCTTTCCATAATTTTTATGAGCTATGGAAATTTTAAATTTTATAAAACTTTGATGTTGCTGCAACATGTTGCCAAGAGCAAATTGCAAGTATTTTGACAAATTTCAAGTGGAATTTAAATTTTTGCAAGGAAAGAAATATTTTTAATGTTTTCATACTACTTGCAACATGTTGCCGTGTTCTATTTTGAGCTTTTTTCATTAAAAAAAATAATTTTTAAATGTTTCCCTATTTGTTAATAAACTTATATTATTAATTTTAATTGCCACTTACCTGTTTACTAAACATTGCAATATCTTCATTAAACGATTCTGACGAACATACATCACCACCTTGCACACCAGGTTCTCTGGGCGTACATGTGGCCAATTCACATTTTTCAAATATTAGTGCCAACAGCGGGAATAGGGGATGTCTGCAAAGGAAAAAAAATAGAAAAAAATTTAAAATACAAAATAAACAAATTAAATTACAAAAAATAGATAGATATCTGAAAAATCAAATATTTCTGATTTCGAAAAAGAAAATCAAGATGAACAGAGAAGATCGAGCAGAGTGCGCCCAGCAGTCAGTCAGTATTGCCTTAAAATTTGTTTACACTAATGGCGACAAGAAACCGCCGTCGTCGTCATTCACAACATCATCTTCTGCGGCAGCTGGTTTTATCATGTGGGAAGAGATCTGCCTGTTTGTGGCGAGTCCAAGGGTAATAATTAGAACATGGGTGGTGTTTTTTTGGCGGGGAGGTAGGGATGCGGAAAGTGTCGTAGTTTTTTTCGTTTGGGGCCTATCATCGCTTGAATGGTAGGCCGCCTCAGTATAGCTATTTTGGTGTGTGTGTATAGTATATAGCACTCATTAAATACCACATACTTGTGGATATGTGAGTACGTATGTATGTGTGAAGTGCATTTAACATTTGGTATTTTAATTAGAGCATAAGTTAAAGGAAATGCTATGCATTTCTCAAAAAAAAACAGAAATGCCAATTTTAGATGATTTTAGAATTCGATCATGGCACTCATATAGAGGCAAAACAAGAAGAAGAACAAGAGAGGAAGGAGTAAATGCAGTAATAGAAGAAGAAAAAAACATGGCTAATTATGAGTTGGCATGGTGAGTTTCCTTGATTGGAAAGGGAAATGTGGTTCGGTGGCTGGCGCTTGCAACACCACGGGATGTAGTGTACGTATGAAGGTAATAAATGCCATAAATTAAAATTGAAAATTGTTGTAATGTGGAATAGTGATTCTATAGACAAGGTGGGAGGAAATTCCCAACCATATTTGGTAATAATAAAAATTGGAATTTCCCGCCAAAAAAATCTAAATAAATTTGCTGCTTTGGTAGGTTCGCCATAAATTTTAAAATTTTGTTTGAAAATCAACAAGTTTGCTCTGGTTTCGCTCTCTCGCTGAAAGTCAATATCAAACACCAACAGCGCCGCCCCAACCCCCTTTCCCATCATTACTGCTGCACCATATGAGTGTGGCAGGCAGCAGCAAAACCGGCAACCAACAAACAGCAGCAACAAATGTGTGCAAAAGTGTTTTGACAAGGAGGCCTGTTTTAAATGCACGAAATTGTAATAAATCTTTGCTCATATTGTTGTAGAGGCTCGTTGTTGTTGTTGGAATTTTATAAAAGACTACTGTATGTAAACATTGGCATAAACAGATATACATTTTTTGCTCGGCTCTCTTTGGGTAAACTGCTCTTTTCTCCTCGATGGCTGGCTGGCAGTCTGGCCTCCCTGGCCATTATCTATGGTTGTTTCCTTTGCCGTTTTTGTTGTTGCTGCTGGTTTTCATTGATAATTTATTACCATCTTTTTAACTGTCAAAAAAAAATTTGTTCATTGTTTGGGGGTTTTCGACACACAAAAAATATCGTTCAAAAATAAGCATCTCTTTGTGACATCTCTAGACAAAAAAAGAGAAAATGAGAGTAGAGATTCTCTCTACAGAAGAGCTCATTTTCTCACTTGCCATTTGCCATGTCATTTTGCAATGTCATTGTTGACAGTTTGGACATATTTGTTGATAGGTTTTTTTGTTGTGTCTTGCTGTTGTTTTCATATTCATTAAGGGGGCTTCACATGCCAAAATCTTGGGGATGATGGGTTTCTCTCTATGTGTGTGTGAACAATTGTAAAAAAATGACAAATTGTTTTATTTTACGATAGAATTAGAATTTATTTTTTTGGTTGTTGTTGGTTGCTTTTCTCAAATGATAAATGATTTTTTGTGTTTTGTGTGTGTACCTAACCATATGCAAATTTGCCACAGTGTAGCATTTAGTTATGCATATGTATTCATGAAGGGAAAACATCTGCTCGATGGTTTTTTTTACATATGAAAAAATAATACAAAACTACAACTACTACCACTCACTGGCCATTTATGTTTGCTCACTTTCCGGTTTGCTGGTCAAGCCGGGTGACTGGCTACAAAAGTTCTACAAATTGCACCTGAAGAGCGTTTTTTCTTACCCCTAAAAATGTTTTGCCCTCTATAATTTTTCAATTAGTATTTCAAATGGTCATTTTAACTGCTTCCCTTTTAAGTTGTTTTTTGGGTCTTCTAATAACAATTTATGTTAAGTATTTTATTTTCTAACCTCCCTCCCTTAGAGATCTCTTCCACTTAATAAAATGACAATCAATTTTTGGTTTATGTTTTCTGTTTTTTTTTTCTTTCTTTTTTTGGACCCTACACTTGTCACTTTATTAAAGGGACCTTCTGCTCTATATGCCCTGTGTGTAATTATAGCTGAAGTGTGATATTTACCTTTCTGTTTCGTTTTTTTGTCTCCCCTGGGAGTACGACTGCAACTGCAAAAGGTAAATATCCACCACACACAGGTACAAAAAAGGTGTTAAGTTCTTAATAATGAAAAAAGAGCATGTTAGCGGAGCAAGCCATCCAGCCAACAACAAGAAAAAGTTGTAGTGGAAGAAAAAATCCACAACTTAAATGCTTATATTCAACAACTTCGCTTAAATGTTGTAAGTTATTTTGTTATCTCACAGGTTCGTTGCAGAATTCTTCCGTAATAATTAAGTTTTATGATTGGGACAATAAAACGAAAAAACTGCAAATGCCATGGTTTTTTTGCAGTGGAGCTTTGCTCTACTGGAAAGTGTTAATTGATAATGACTAAAACAATGCTGAGAACAGAGAGGGGGAGGAAATAACATAATTACCCAGGGGAATACAAGAAATGATAATCAGCACATCAAAAAAGGGAATAAAAAGAGGAGATACATGTCTACCCAAACTGAATGGGAATTATGGGCTCACAAAAATATACACAAGGCAAATGGAATCCCATAAAACATAGTTTTAAGTGAGAATTCAATCGAATTCAATCCCCAAAAAGGGGAAAATAGAATATAAATCTCCATACAAACTGAATGAGAATTATGGGCACTTATTTGAATGCTCACAATGCAATGAAGTCACACATTACAAGTGAAAACATACTTGAACTCAAAAATAATTATTTTCTTAAAAGAAAAAATAATTCCGGGGACCAAAATCAAAATTATGAACACATATTTAAATGCTCACATGGCATTGAAGTCACATATTACAAGTGAAAACATAATTCAACTCAAAAACCAATAATTTCCTAACAGAAAAATTAATTCTGAGGAGAAAATCACACAATTAGCCAGGAAAAATAATCCCAAGTTAGAAATTCGGTAACAAAAAATTCTCCTCAAGTAAATGATAATTATTGGCCCTTATTCAGAGGCCCAGATGGCAATGAAAGCACAAATTACATGTAAAGAAATATTTTTGGCCAAACAAAATATTATTTATTGGAAAAAGGGAATGGAATACAAAATAGATAGAGAATACAATTCCACCGAACTAAAAAGAGTAATTTAAATTTACTCCTCAACTAAATGAGAATTATTGGTAACTATTCAGATCCACACAAGGCAATGAAAGCACAAATTACAACCAAAAAAAATATTTTTAGCTAAAAATTACTTTTTTATGGGAAAAATTTAAAGAAGGTGAGAAAATCCAAAACTGCATAAGGCATTTCAATCCTAAAAAGCAAAAATTGCAAATAAAATTCGCTCATGAACCAAATGAGAATTATTTGCACCCATTACAATACACACAACGCAATGAATGCTCATATTACAAGTAAAATCATATCTTTAGCATTAAATGCATTATTTATTTAAATTTTCTTCATTTATTTTTAATTTAACCGTCTGGCCATCAATTGTACTTCATCAATCTCCTGAATACATTACAAAATAACAAAAAAATATGACAAATATGTCATTGTCTGTCAATAAATAACTGACAAGTAGTTAACACTCTTTAAGATGTTTGCCAAGTGGTTAAAAATTAATAACACAAATAAGAAGGGTGACGAATATCTTCGGATGGCATTTTCCCAATGGCTTGTTGTGTTTATTTTCTTATAAATAACAGATTAATTACTAGGCTCCTTTTCACTTTGAGGAATAGGGAAGTGGAAGAAAGGAAGACAAAAATTATGATTGATGTGTGCGCAAACACACTGGCTCACTGGGGTGTTTGATCGGTTTTGGGACACCGTATACAATGGGAAAGGCATGGCATGCCGGGCAATACCACAAAATTAGCACCTCTCCTCTTTTGTGTTTGGCCAATAAATTTCTATTAAAAAAAACCTTTCTCCAAAATGGAAAAACGTTTAGGCGGTAACCCCTAATTTGCCAAGGGTATTATTTTTTTTAAAAGGCGCGTGTGTGAAAAAGATCAACAAAAAACGCCTACAAGGAAGGCTAAGGAAAGGACTTAATTAAAAAACGCACACAAGAATTGCTGCTCTTTAAAAATGATAAAATTAGGGGGAGAGGATGGAAAAATGGGAGTTTAGAAGTCATGGTCATATGAGCATGACATTTTGGCAATTGGTTTTTAATTTAATGAAATTTTAATCTAATTAAATGTTACACTTTCTGGTGCGCTCTCTTTTTTAACCTTTTCTCTTCTCTTGATTTTTTTTTTTTCTTAAGGAAATTTATTTTTTTATCAAAAAAAAATGTTTGTTTTTATGAAAATAAAATACTTACTCATATATAGCATCCTTATCACGTTTATGTACTTCGGGTATTGCACCCATTAAATGATTAGCAACCGGTGATACATGACTAGGTGTACCATGGCCACCAGCCGCACCGGCTGTATGATAGCCATGCATGCCAACTGTGGCCGCTGCTGCAGCAGCGTGTGTCATGTGTGGTGAATGATGTGATGGTAGGCCTTGTAAACCAGGCGGCCGATGACCAACATGTGGATCATACATGGCAGCTGCTGCAGCACCCGAATCCATACCATAGCCATGCAGGCCATCGTCATACTGAAAATTTTGGAGAAAGAAAAGAAAGGATATAATTAATAATTTGCATAAAAAATTGGAAAAAAATAGGGAAAAAAGAAATTATTGTGTGAAATTTGTGTTCTAAGCAACATGTTGCAGCAACATTTTGGAAAACAAGCTAAGAAAATAAATTCTTTGGAAGCTATTTCGATTAGTTGTGCTCTGGCAACATGTTGAGGCAACATTTTGGAAACCAAGCTAAGAAAATAAACACTTTTGAAGCTATTTCGATTAGTTCAACTAGTATTGATCTTAAAAAATGCATACAAAATGTTGTCAGTTTTTTTAGCAAGATATTGCTGCAACATTTTTTTAACATTGTTTTGTTTTTAGAAAAAAACAGCAAAATAATTATTTTTAATTGGTTTTATGTTATTTTAATATATTTTTACTAAAAACTAAATTTTTTCAAAATGTTTGGCAACATGTTGCTGCAACATTTTTTTTATTATTTTTATATTTTGGCTCAAAACCCCGTAAAAAATTAGATTTAATATCTAGAGAACTTTTTTTGAGAATATAAATGAAGTTGAAATTTTGTAAAATTTTTTGGCAACATTTTGCAGCAACATTTTTTTGAAAAAATTGTAAAACTGCGAAAAATGTTCAAAAAATCAAAAACTTATTAGTAGATTAAATTTAACAATTTTTTTTTTTTTTTTTTTAAATTTTGGACCTTGGCAACATGTTGCTGAAACATAATTTTAAATTTATTTTTAAAAATTAAAAAAAAATTGTTTTTTTCTCATTTCAAATCTTTTTCTTTTATATTTTAAAATGCTCCTAGGCCTTTTCTTGTGTGCAGAACAAAAAAATTAATATGTAAAAATATTTCTTATAAAAAAAATTCCCCATGAAAAAATATTCCCACACCAAATCAAAATGGAATTTCTTGTCACCCATAAAACACCCAAAAAAAATTAATACAACAACAACATAATATGGCCATAGAAAACGTGTATTTATCACACACCAAAAATACCAAAAAAAATGAAATCAAAACTTATCATGAACACAAAATCATCATTCTCATCAAAAATACAACAGTACAGAGGAGCATTGGCTGGCATATCGTGCTATAACAATCAACCGCATATATTCATAGCAACATTAGTTGTCTCCTACACCATCCAACAAGCAACCAAACCGACCAACAACAACAGCTAATAAGCTTGACCTTGTAATAACAGCCTTAACTTCAAGCGTCTTAACGTTTTTTGCATACGAAATGTACAAAATGATTTGTTTTGTTTATAACTATAGGAATATTTATATGTATGTGTGTGTGTAAATTTTTTAAAACGGTTTTAAAATAAACTACGTAGATGGCTAAATGGCTTGTTGTGATTTTGAGAACAACAACAAAAACAGCCAACACTTCTTTGACGCCACTTTAATAAAACGTTTAGTACAACAACAACACCAGCAAAACTGCACAGAAATGTTGTTGTTACAACAACAAAAATTAAAACTTTTTAACTTGACAATGTTAAACACGTCTTGAAGAACCAAAAAAACGACAACTGAAGTCAAGACGTCGTCAGAGTCCATCAGCAGCTAGCTAGCTACCTTCCCATACCCACATATTGGCAAAAAGTGTTGGGGTATTGCAGGTTGAAGTACCTACTCTCCCAGCTTAACGTACATTGATGATTGTTAAGATTTTTATCATTAAATATTTTTTTTATATAAAAATACAAAACTTGAGAGTTCACACTGCATACAGAATTTGTTGTTGTTGCTGTTGTTGTCTTTAAATGGTGTTTTTTGGACTTTGTCTTGCACGGTAGTATTTTGTCAAAAGGCGTTGTCATTCAACACGAAATCACACGTTCAGGATTTTGTTGTCGGAGGGAGATTCATCATCGCCATCATACAGGTTGGTTGTATTGAATCCTCAGTCCGGAGTATGAATAATGTTGCAAGGCTTTTGGTTTGGCTTATCATTGGCAGGAGATCTTTTTTGAATGTCTTAAGCAGCAATTGACACATTGATGTAAAATGTCAACAAAAATCCCCTTCTCTCCCTTTCTCTCTTCTTTTCCTCGCATAAAAATTTAAAGGGCCCTTCAGGAAAAAAACCCTCCTCAACAAGTGTTAATGATTAAAATCTGTTTTAATTCTCAGGCCATGGAAAAGGGTATAACTCATCATATTTTATTAAAGGGCGAGGGGAGAGAGAGAGGGGGGGGGGAAGAATACGATTTTTATGAAAGAAAAAAAAATATTGTACTTGGCATCCCGCTATTACCTCTGCATTTGACATTCAAACCACCTGCACACAGCACACATTCACATATTAATCTCCAGCGAGCGACCGAACCGACAAAAAATCCCCAGTTAAGGTTTATTTGTTATGCCAAAAAGGCTGAGCGGGGGGTACGGCGGAGGGGGGAAACAATCCCATTTTTACTGCTATTGTTTGATTCATCAGAAAGCAGGAGACAAAAAACGGCAGAACAGCAGCAAACCTTTCTCAATATCCGCTGTATACAAAAAACCAGCTTGAAACTACAATACAACAACCGGCAAAGTGGCTGTGGCAGGCTGGCTGAAATGGCACACCAAAAAAATAAAAATTCACAACGACAACAAAAAATTGTCCTCCAGATACATACACAAGATTAGCAAAAGACTTCATTTCACATACATGCATTTTCAACGTCTCTGTGGAAGGAGGAAAAAAAATCCACAAAAAAACCTACAAACAGCCAGGCTGCCAGGCCAGGCAGCCAGATCTACACAGCTCTAGCAGAAGACCAAAACAACAATTGCAAAAAAGAGCAGGCAGCAAACAAAAAAAATTGTCAGCAGCAGCATTAACTGCCATGTGCAGTTAACAGAAAAAAACAACGGCTATGGACGGGTATGGTTTTGGTTGTTGTTGTTGTTCTTATTGCTACTATGACGGCGGCTGCAAGTTGTTTATTGTTCAAGTTTTGTGGGTTAAAGTCGCGGCTCAGATATTTGTCATTTGTTGGCTGGTGAAGTTTTTTTTCCACTGCTTACCTTACATATATTTAGATGTATGGAAAAAAATCCCAGGTTCGCGTTAACCTCTCCTCATCTTACCTCCTCTTATCTAAATAGTTTGACTTAAATACTCCAAAAAGTTTTTGTTTTGTTTGCCTATCACAACTAATGTTCGGAAAAAAACTCTTTAAGCAAGATTGTCTAAAAGCAGTTAAACTATAAAGTTGTTATGCTAATTTTTTCTTCTTCTGCAATGCATTTGAAGTTTTGTGAACAGAGCACATTGTTGTTGTTGTTCTGTGTTGGCATAGAGAAAAATATTTTAAGGAAAACTCCATTGAGTCCACAGAGAACAAATTGCTGGCTGAAGCAAAAAATTAAAACAGGAAACAGGAAATTCCATGGAGGAGATATTGGAGGAGCAAAAAAATAAATAAAAAATTAAAAGAAGAAAAAATGCAAAGGAAAAAATTTCAATTCAAGAGGAAAAACAAATGATAAACCCGAAATGTTGCAGCAACATGTTGAGGCAACATTACGGAAAGTCTCAAGAATTTGCCAAATACACTTTGGAGCTATAAAAAGCTTCAGAAACGCTAGAAATAACATTTAGAATGATTGGAATATCGTGAAAAATAATTTTCAAGAGGAAAGTAGCCAATAAAACATATCAATGTTGCCGAAACATGTTGACGCAACATTGTGGAGAGTCTCAAGTATTTCCAAAATAAACTTTGGAGTTTGGGGAAGCTTCGGAAATGCATAGATTTACATTTAGAATGTTTGGAGTACCGTAAATAATCATTTTCAAGAGGAAAATAGCCAATAAAAGATATCAATGTTGCTGAAACATGTTGAGGCAACATTGTGGAGAGTCTCAAGTATTTCCGAAATAAACTTTGGTGTTTGGGGAAGCTTCAGGGATGCTTAGAAATTACATTTAGAATGTTTGGAATACCGCAAAAATGAATTTAAAAGGAAAAGATTCAATGAATGATACCTATGTTGCTGAAACATATTGAGGCAACATTGTGGGAGTATCAAGAACTTCCAAATAAAATTTGGAGTTTGGGGAAGCTTCAGGAATGCTTAGAAATTACATTTAGAATGTTTGGAATATCGCAAAAAGTTAAATATAATGATACCTATGTTGCTGAAAATATCCAATTCCAAATAAACTTTGGAATATATATATGTTGTTTTAAAACCCACAAAAATTGTTTCCAAGAGGAAAATATCAAATTAATTACATAGATGTTGCCGAAAAATGTTGTGGCAACATTATGGAAAGTCTCAAGATCTTCCAAATGAAATTTTGAATTATGAAAAGCTTCAGAAATGCTTAGAAATAACTTATAGCTTGTTTTAAATACATTTGGAAGTAAAATATATTATAGACATTTAATGTTGCCACAACATCTTGAGGATATATTGTGATAAGCTTCAGGAACATGTGTAATCATTTTAGGAAACTGTATGTTTCTGCAACATGTTGCCAGAAGGTTTTATAAGCTTTTATAAAGACTTTTATAGAATTTTGCTAGTATCTTCTATATATTTTCAATAAATAAATTTTATTTAACTGTGAAAAATCAATTTTCTATGCTTGCCGAATAATATTCAGTTCTTTGTTTCAATTTATTTTGAAATTAATTGATTTTTTATGTTCGCAAAAAAAAAAAATGAAAAAGAAATATTGGCTCAGTTTCTCTTAATGGTTTGCTTTTTGACCACATTAATTTACCATAAAATTTTAATATGGATTTTGTTTTATTGAAAAAATAATAATATAAAAAATAAAACATTTTTCCCCCCTTTCTTAAAAAAAAGGCAGCTTAGCCTTAACACGTGATTACTGGTTTTCACCCGTGGCGGCATATTCACTAAGCTAAATAATTTTCATAACAAAACATAAATATATACATATATGTAGATATGGAGAAAACTAGTTTTCTAGACAATGTGATTATAGGCAATGACCCTTTAACAGCAACAACATTTGCCTG